AAACCTAGAAAGCAACAAACACATATGTAGGAAGAAGATTACTACTAGTAGAAGTACTAGAAAAGGTTAAACATATCTATATAGAGTCAGAAGAGAATCTGTGTAAATCTGTGTATATGAAATATGTTCTACATAGCAATTAAAACATAGCAAATTAGCAATGAATAAATAACATCACAGCGAGAGTGGCTCCTAATGGCAACTCTTCGGGAAACAACATGAACTCTATGCTAAACCATGTGTAATGTGTTGGTGGCTACAGATCTGTAACACATACGACACATGCTCTTACATAACAAGATGTTATGACAGGCAATTAAGTCTGTAGAGCACTACATGGGAATCACAGCCTACATTACCTCATAATAGCTGGGTAAACGCGCAAGACCTCACTCATAAACATGTCCAGGAGCGGCAACTCTTTAATCTTGGCGTGAGTGATTTCGGTCTAATTGCGTAAAAAAAATCGCGAAAACCCCAGTTATTTTCCACGCATACGTGGGGTCACGAATTTCGGCAAATCTTCTATAGAATAACCCTAGAATATCACATTACCGTATGAGTGGAAAATAACTGTTTACAAGGACGAACTAACAGCCACTGTAAAGATATTTTTACAGCCAAGATATTTTTTTATATCTTATATTGTAGTCACATATACGATAAGGTCGTCACGATTCATTTGCTTCGTACCATAGATACCTACATAAACATGTCTATCTAGATGTTCATGATGTCTCTATGCGCAGTATGTAGTCTTTACGCGTCTGTTGCATATAATATATTTGGTTCGTACGATTGATGTGGCACACTCACACCGCCTATCACGTCATCCACTTCCTGCTGCAGTTTCGTCTGCCACTCTGGGTTGGTAGCGAGGCAGTAGGACCACATTGACAGCAGCGTTGTCGTCGTCTCGTAACCGGCCAGGAAGAAGATCAGGGATTGTGCGAGGATCTGCGTGTCCGTCAAACCTGGATTGATGGTTAGTTAGGTGACGGTCTCATGCAGTCAGTTGCCGTTTTAAAACGTGAAACTTCATTAGCGAACCGCGTTAATATAGCAGCGAACGGATATCTTAAGACGGGGAATCTGGGAACCGGTAAATACTCCAGGGTATCCCATATTGGCGCGTGGGTGCATGTGTATGCGTGCGTGTATGTATGTGTGTGTGTGGAGGGGTCCACTCACATGCAGTTTACCAGGTAAAAATATGCCATTTCCCAATGTCCCGGTTAATTAAACCCCAATTTCGGCTTTCCCGTGTCCGGCTGCCCCCTATTCCAGAAGAAAACGAAATATTTATCTCGGGTCTAATGCCACATCCCGAAAATACACGCCTCCGTCCTCATAAAAGTATAAGCCCGTTGCCGCGTTACACCGTAATTCACGGAAACTTTTAGTATTGTTAACCTTTTTCTATTTTTTTTTAGTTTGATAAAGTATGTTATATAGGCTGAGTTGCCATTATTTTTTAATGATGACACATGCGGGCCGCTTTTCAATGGTCTACACGTCACGGTATATTTATAACCACGAACCGTTGTGAACTTCGCCAGATTTGCCATGCATTTCCTTGTGAGCGTCCATCATCAACTGGAGAAAGTCTGGTCGTACCTAGAAATGTATACGTCATATGTAAAGCGTGCACACACGCACGCACACAAAACATACACACACACACGCACGCACGCACGCACGGACGCACGCACGCATGCACGCACACAAACACACGCACACACATCTTTTCTATACATCAAAATATCCTAATCTGCTCCTATTGGTCATCCATCGGTCGCTTAAGAAAAATTCCCCGGTCGTGAAACGTTGTTGAAATTCAGCTTTTTGGCCACTTGCATCAAGCACGCTGACAAGAGATTATATAGTATTGTAGAATGGGAGTCGCTGCTGCAGAAAAGGAATCTCACAACGGTTGTCGTACCTCTTTAGAAGTTCGTCTAAGCGCCAGAGTCTTCGTAGTGAGGTTGACAAAGAAGTCTTGATCTTCTTTTTTAATGAATTGTATTTTTAACAGCTTCAGAAGTGGAGTAAGTATCGGGAAAAAAACTGCAGAGAAAGACACAATGTTATGAATATTTGAAAAAGGTTAAACAATTACTGTAAATCTGTTATTAGTGTGTGCATGACGCCATTATACATATAGACCACAAGAACATCGTCTTGCGATATGGATGGCGAGGCAAAAGTAAAGGTAAAGATAATGTAGATGGCGAGCCCTTCTTATCAATTGTTTAGGGATTCAATTATAAACAACTTGAATTGGTGGATTTGGTAGCAGAAAAGGGTGTCATAATTATGCGATCTAAATTTGTACGGGTCCAATTGGCAATATTATAATGCAACCGTTAAAATCGCCACAAAAGGAGTCATTTCGGTTCACTCGAAGCTTATAGTTTATGTTGAATTATCCTATTTATTGAATTGTGTTAGTTCTGCAAATGTTGCCATTAAATGGACGTCGCGACATGTTTGCGGGCGGCTGAATTCGCTCACGCTTAGACGTACGGGACCTTGGACAACGTCCGACGACAAGGCACAATGACCAGCCTTCGACATTGAAGCCTGGTGTATACATACGCACACACGCATGCACCCTCGCACGCACGCACGAACACACACACATACACACATATATATATACATACATAAACACACACACGCACGCACGCACGCACGCACGCACGCACGTACGCACGCACGCACGCACGCGCGCACACGCACACGCACACGCACACACACACACGCATATATATATATATAATATATATCAGGAGTACATAATAGGGAGGAGTGTGACAATCAATACAACACTAGGGGAATTCGTCATTTACTAGGCCTTATAATACCTACGATTACTACGCGTAACGCAACCAAACTTGAGCTCAAATCGTACACAGTACATCCTCTTCCCATCGTGTGAAATCGTTTTCCTAGTACTACACCCTCAATCCGGAGATACAGACTAAAACGGTACCACACGATTTTTCAGTTCTGTTAGCCGAGCAAAATCCATGGGCGAATAAGCTATTTGAAACAGAAAAGGCAGGCTACTAACGCACACGCTGTCCACGGCTTGTGCTCACCGCGAGGTCGCTGTGGCTCCAGGGTGACTTAGGCATCAAGCGCAACACTCGGCGAGATACCCTTTGGCTTTGAACGCTATTTACAGCTGGTAGCACCCCCCCCCACCCATCACAGCAGCCTCTGCAGCTCAGCGGCAGCGTGTATAACTACGCGCGGACATAGCACAATCATGAGTCTATCAAGATAACAGTAATGCTTGTAGTTAGACTCCTGCTCACGTGGCAATGGGCTCCTTCCCTGTCGAGCCACAGCGCGCCTCGCCGGGTGAAGCGCAAGCCCTGGACGTGTGGTGTTAGTAGCTGCCTGTTTGTTTCAATATAACTTTATTCGCCACCATGGATTTTGGCTGGGGCAACAGAACTGAAAATCGTGTGGTAGCGTTTAAGTCTGTATCTTCCGCGATTGAGGTGTATACCTAGGAAGGACCGATTTCAAGCACGATGGGAAGAGGATGTATCGTGTTACCCGCATTTGCAGCCGGCCACAGTCGCGTGCGGTACCGCGGATAAGTCGCAACATCCGTAGTATCTATAACGGTAGTAGAAGTGACCGAACTTTCGCGTCTTGCTTATTGTTGTTCAACACTCCGTCCCCTAATTATGCGTACATCCTGATATATATATATTCTATACCTTGACTTTGTTTATATATATATATATAAATAAATAAATATATATATATATATATCACTAGTCACTCACATATAACGCCGAGGGCTATGTGAAACGGATGGAAGTCGAAGGCGCTCTTGGCGTGTTTAACGAAGGGCGACTCTTTGCCCTGCTGCTGTGAGTCCGCCTGCAGGCCAAACATCGTGCTGCTGATCACGTCCAGCGTGAAGCCGCCCCAAATGCTGATATGAAACGAGAGGAAATGGCCGATACAGACTCCTGCTCGCGAAAGAAATGACATCTTCGCATGTGGAAGGTGAATAGCAACGACATCGTCATTCGTTACTCGCTACTCAAACTGCACTTCGCGCAGTCATGTGCTCGAGTACTTCCTAACGACATATTAACACATAATGTCAGTAGTGTGTTACAGTTACAGTTGCGTGTGGTGATATCTGCCAGGATCTAGGACGTCTGTGTCGAATCCATGATCTCTCATCATCAAAACATGCCTACACACGTCTGAAATGTAATACAACCAAATGGTAGAATTTTTAACGTACATACCTTTTCGTCTCAAATGGTTTCCTTTCATCGGCCAGCTTTCCAAGGTTAGTCTTCAATGTATTGGCACACTCGTTGATAAGGTGAGTCATCTATTTGAGAACGAGATTCGATAACGAACTATTACTAAACCGACACGCGAGTAAAAGCGTCTAGTTAACCACCTTAACTTAGACCATCTTAGACAATTAGGTTTCGATCTAACAATGCTTCTTTGGTTCGTACCGTAAGCACACAATAAATGTAAAATAAGCACTAGCTGTGGATCCATAATGCCAGGTTAGTTTGAAGACCCCGCCCACATTATACTAACTTATTTAATATATTTATATTTTTTATATAATGTAGCTTATTTTTTCCACTTCTCCATAAACATCTTACTTACTCTATAAAATTATATAGCGTGAAGGGAGAGTAAGTATAGCATGCAATAATATACGCGCTATACTTTCTCTCCCTTGGTAACTGAGTGGCGAATATCGCACCTGTTTTAGCTTGCCGGTCGTGAATGTTGGTGTGAGGATGCTTCTCATATCCTTCCACTTCTCGTTTTTCAGGTTTCCTAAACCTTCCGTAAGAATGCCATCGCTACTCACGTCATCTCCGAAACCCTACAATAATAAAAACTAAATACCATGCAGATACTAAAATATGAATAAAAATTAATACTAAAACTCTCATGACTCATAATATTTATTTAAAACAAATTACAATAGCACATTCGATCGTATATAGTCGGTCGATCTTGTTGGGCGTTGCGTGGTGCAAACAAAGTGATATAGCGCTATATAGTGGTGTACGCCACTCCGATAACACTGTGAATGTTACAATTCCCTTGTTACACTGTGTGTGTGTGTGTGTGTGTGTGTGTGTGTGTGTGTGTGTGTGTGTGTGTGTGTGTGTTGTGTGTGTGGTGTGTGTTGTGTGTTCTTGTGTTACTATTGTGAATGTTACACTGTGAATGTT